TATGCTCGCTTTCATGGCCGTGCTTCATGTCCAGACGTCCAGCCTTTATGAACAGGTGTGGAGGGCAGTGGTGCTGTAGAGAAGGCAAGATTAATGTAGTGGCCACTTCTCCGTCGATGACAGCAAAAATTGCGGAGTCGCCAAACCCGATAAGTGAGTGCTAGACGAAGCCAAACGAGTGTTTTATGACTTTAAAAATTGGATCGCATCTATGACCGCCTATGGGTGATAGACAATCCGAAAATGTTAGACCACGAGGGTTTAAGCTGGCCGATTGCCAACAATAGGAATCTTCCACATTAGGCTTACTGCATACCGTGTATGCTTATTACACAGGCAAATGAATTTACCGCACTCCCTGCAAAGGTACTATGTATTAGATCGAAGTGTGGACGTCGATTTTCTGCGATTGCGTGAAGCAACTGTGAGGGGTTCGCCCAACCAATAGGTTTTATAGCAGTCCCTAGAGCTCGAACTGAAGCCTGTTTCTCGGGGGAACGGGATCGAAATATCCTTTCAAGTACTCGCTTGGTGGCAAACCACGTCTCCTACTATTTTTTAAATCAACGAAGGGATTAGTTTAGGTTTGTCGTTATGATATCCTCAAGGACCGTGAAATGTCCATTTAAATGAAATTGTATCTGTCCGTCTGTTATAGCGCCTTCTGGCATATACAACATGGTCTACAGGTATTTGCAAACAGTATGAGCTCCATATGATATCACCTTGATGGCGTCAAAGAGTTTATGATTTTTCTTGTGTAGAAGGTAGACTGTGAACCCTAAACTCAAATGTAACGGTAGATCGAGATCAAGATTATTTGTGAATTGAAAAGCCTTTTAAAACCTCTAATACATCTTTCCTTCAAGTTGCAGAAGACGTGATCCGCCGCCAAATGACCACGAGGAAGGATGGCTTTATGATGCTTTCTACCCATTATATCTTGATTAATAAGACATCGAGAATCAACAAACAATCGTACTACTTAAGCGGTCATTTTGACTGGGCGAGGTCTTTTCAGACGGCCGAAAAGGGGACATTCAGAAGCCGGCATCATGACGCGACTAAAATATATTAAGATTATGCCGCATGATGATCAACGTTACAACCTCACTTACTCGAAAATGCATTTCAGAATCTCATTCGACATTTCGTTACTATTCAGAGCAATCTAATATGTGTGATTTTAACTCAACAGGTAAATTTGTAAAGGAAAACGATACTGGCGACATGAGCCTGCCACAAGGACACAAGGGAGTATCCGATGAGACAATGAGCATTTTTTGTGCCCGACACCTCGGTAATCTTTTTAGTAAAACGGGGGATCAAGTGGATTTAGACCACATGCTACCGACGGCAGCTAAGTCGCACCGCTCTACAAACTGAATAAAAACATTCCCAACATTTTTTGTCGGTTTGTATTCGTGGGTCTCGACAGAAATGCGCTGATTTGCATGATCACCAGTAATACGGTCCCTAGTCACTTTTGATTACTGCTGTTCTGATAATTTTCTATGCATATATAGATTTGATGAAACTGCCATTGGTGTCTAAAAGGCCCTCCACCAAGAATACATGGGGGATTCTTTGACTCTTAGTGGGGAAAAATAACATTACGGACAAAAAAACAAGGGAGCCTGGAATGACAATTTCTGGCTTATTAGTCGTCATCAGTCAGCAATACCCAAACCCGGGCTTTGCAATCCCTGGGGTCTAAACTCGCATCCTGTTGGTAAGAAGTCCAACGACCTAGCTACTGTGCCAGGGGTAAAGGGGAGCGAGCTCCAATCACGTTACGGAACTGTCAGCTTCTGGTCTGGACAAATATTCTCCCACTATTGGTGATAATGACACCAACCCCCAATCCTACAGGAAAAGGATATAGATTTTTGAGGAGCAGTTGAAGGAGAAAACTAATGTAGTCAGTCCATTGTTAGGCAACTGATAAATAATCGCATATTGCAAAAGAAAGTGTCAGGAAGGGGTGCCGAGTCCAACCATGCTCATCGTTTAGAAGTGAGATGGGGAAATGGACAATGATTACTGCGTCCTTCGAATTTGAGTCGTATCCCCAGCTCTCCGAGTTTTCGTCGAATTTACTTGATAGTATAGGGCAGACTGAACGTCGCGTGGAAATAAATTGCGAACTGACGACGTATCCTTTGGATTTGGATTACAAGTAAACCAACTCGAAAGTTCTATCATTATTGGAATTTTCGGATCTCGACGTTATTTCCCACGGTATCAGGAGGAAGATTCTACCCGAATTCTTCAAGGAACAGCACCACTGATTAGTCTTCTCATTCGCACCGGTGAAGTATACCACAAATTCTCCATCAAAAGATATTTGCAATCGTCCGGCCATCTGTACAAGTCTCCCTACTTGACAACTTTTCTCCGAGATCTACGTCGAAAACTATAAACGGCTGAGTCGTTTCCTATTTTACTTCATAATTGGCAAATTCTTCATTCTAACAATTGTTGAAAACATCCTGCACTACTCTAGAACTGATTGAAGAGTTTGAAAATCATCAGCAATGAGCCAATTTGTTATAAAAAACTCGTTCACAAAAGTTGTGCAACCGGGATTTGAACTCGGTACCTGCGGTCTCGGAGGCCACAGTGTTAGCCACTGCGCTATCGATGAACAGTTTGGCGCTAGTCAGATATGTTTATCAACTACAAAAGAGCAGCTGAAAACGGTCTTTAATTCATTAGCAGTCTCTTGCGATAAAATGCCGCTGGAATCATTAGACTCCAGGGAGATTACGCACAATAGGCTCGGAGAGATAAGACAGGAAATAAGAACCGATGCACTGCCAAGAGGCCTCGAAAACTGTATGACAGACGGGACGGATTCTGCGCTTGTCGGTCGCTGTGTCGGCTGCAAGGAACTTGAGAAGCGGGTCCAGACGCTAGAAGAGAAGCAAGGCCTACTGACGGACATCATCATGGCTATTCTTAAGCACAGTAAGATAGAATTACCAAATAATCCGCCAAATTTCCGATCGATCGGCGACGAACATCCTACTAATAAAGGCGCTAGCGTGGAAAAGTCAAAGCCAGTCAGGAAGAGGAAGCGAGTTATGTCTCCAGAGGAAACTCTAGACAAATCAGTTCCGGTGGATAACGTGGCAGTCGACACTAATGCATTAAAAATAAGCCAGGTTCCATTACCTGCTATAGTAACAAAACCTGCCAAATCATCGAACAATAAAGTTGGGAAAGCCAGGATGACCCTCAGAAGATCTGTTAGGAACTACAAGGACTCGCCGTTATTCTTGGAAGGCAATGCTGTTACTCCACTTCTTCACAAGGCTAACTCATCTGGAAAGTGCCCTAACCATTCCGTTTATGGAAAAGGACACGATAAGCCTTCGTGCAGTACATTGCAACAGGGTAATGATTGTAAGACCTCCACTGCCGAAGCATGTACGTCACATGAAAATCCATGCCCTAAACTCCCTTCGCCGGCCGAAAATCATTCAAATGTCGAAGTGACAACAGCCGTCGGGAATACTACAGTAGCATTATATCGTCCTAGCGCGGACGGGACAGTAATGAGCTCTTCCATAAAT